TTGAAAAAAAAGTTTTTGTAGCCAAATAAATTAAGGAAACTCTAGGTTTAAACAGAGTTAAACAAACACCTTTAAGGTAGGACATTTCTGAATTATGAATACGCAAATGTGCATGGTCAATCTCCAAGGGGAGGCATTTGCCACTAATTTGACCACGCTGCCCCCTTTTCTAATACCATACCCCCTGAACTCTTTATTCCGGGGTTCTGTTGAATCATAGCTTGGTTCAAAATAAAATAGCAATTTCTAGTTCTAGAATTCCTGCTCTAATTCTCCCTTGGAAGAAGGATGGCATCCATCTTTTTTCCAGCTTTACCCACTGTGTTCTGAACAGTGCCTGACATAACAGAAGCTCATCCATGGTTGTGGAATGAAAGTATGGTCATTCAATGCATCTTTCCAGTCACTTCTCAAAATACATTTCCACTAAGTTTCAGAAATGGGATCAATCTGTCGAAGCAACAGCAAATCAAATTAAAATAATTTTCCTGTATGTCCAATGTCTTCATCCAATAGCTCTCTAAAGTCAGTATGCATTCAAATCATTTGGAGAATTAAAAAATATACATTGCTGGGCCTAGCTTCCCTGACCTTCTGTTGTGGGTAAAGAAATTCACATCTTCAACCCCTCAAGTGAAGCTAATGCATCTGATCACACTCGGAAAATCACTATCCTAATAAAAAGGAGCCCCTAAAGGTGGACCATTTCTGGGCAGAAAGGTCTTTGAGATCTCTCAGTATGTAAGAAGAAAGATACAGGCTTGTTCTATCATTCCAGAAAACAAAGCTCAGAAATACCGGTAAAAGTCCTAAGAAGAAAAATAGGTAAAGTCCTAAAATAGGTTGTCATTTAACGTCAAGATGAAGAGTCTCTCAACAATGGCATGGACTTCCTGGATGTAATGACCTTCTATCTCATCACTGTGGTAGTCAAGGAGAGGCTGGATACGGTAGAAAGGAAGTACCTGGCAGGTAGTGATTAGATTAGGTTAATCTGCAACCCTGCAATTCTGGGACAAAGGCTGCAAACCCAAATACCTTCACAGAATGGAAGGCATGCATGTGTAGGGGGCAGTGGTGAGCTAGAGAGAGCTTGCTCCTTTCTAAAAGCACCAAAATTAAAAAAAAATAATCACCCCACACATAAAGGTAGGCAGGACTCAGGGAAGTTCACAACTCCTATGTTATGAATTATTTCAAGTAAATAACTGCCTAGTCGACTCCTAAATAGAGGCCTGTCAGTTTTGGGGGCAGGAAGGGGGGAATGCATTTTAAGAAAATATTTGAAGCACAGTTTAATTCTGAATTATTGAGGGAAATTCCCTGCCAGAGAAATCCTAGCTGGAGTATGCATGCATGTACACATATATTTCACAATTACAGCCTTTCCAACCATTCTCACTCTCTCCTGGGGTTTCCCTAGTAGTCAAGATAATGGTTAGCTTTCCTCTTGGTACTTTGTAATCTAAAGATGACTTATTACTTTCCTATTACACACTGTATGTACACTGGGAGATAGCTCTAAGCCTTAAGGGCATTCCATTGCCAGTCGTCCAGCCCTGACGCTTGAAGAAACACTGCCATAGAGACTTCAAGTGGAAGAGGCTTCATCTCTTAGTCTCAATCACCTCCTGTCCGTTTCCATTCATAAGAGCTGCTCATGTCTTCTAGCATGGGAACTTTGATGAGTTTCTCCAACAAGCATCTTATAGTCTGTGCCCCTCTTCTGAACTCTTGAATCATTCACTGTGTTGAATCCATTATAGTAGTTGCTAATTAACTTTAGAGAAAATATTAACCCCTTGTTTGGCCAAAGAAGCTGGGCAATGTCTATGGATTCCAGGTTACGGTAAGGATGAAGAAATTCTTCCTACTGACATAATTATTTCCTTCCATCCCCACCTCTCAATGTCCCTAGTGAAGTGTCCCCTTCGTGTGGAGCCTCACGTGATGTCACAGTGCTCACGACAGCTACTTGATAGTGTTTCATAAGCAGATCAATGCATTGTTAGAGATTCAAAGCCATCATGACAATGATGTTTGGTTGACAAAGGTGTTTTTGCTTGGAATTCTTGTTTCTATTCCCAGAGAAAGGAAAAACCACCATGATTTAGGTTGAAAACATTTGTACTATTTCTTGTCCATAGATGTTGTAGATCACGAAAGAGGGCATACAAATGGCCAACAGACATAAGAAATGGTATTCAGCTTCAACAACCATCAGGACAATACAAACTAAACCCATAATGTGATACTGCTTCACACCCATCAATCAAAGTGGCTAAAATGGAAACAACAGACAATAGCAAGTGTTGGAGAAGATGTGGAGCAACCGGAACTCTCAGATGCTTCTCATGGGAGTGTAAATCAGTGAACCACTGTGAAAAGCTGTTTAGCAGAATCTACTAAAGTTGGATATATACATACCCCGTGACCCAACAACTTTATTCTTAGATATGTTTCCAAGAGTATATGTCTGTAAGTTCACCAAAAGGCATACAGAAAAATGTTCAACAGCACTCTTTATAACAGCCCCAAACTGGAAACAATTAGAATGTCCACCAACAATTAAATAGAAACATTGTAGTATATTCATACGGAGGAATATTGTATGATTTTACTTATGTAAAATATTAAAATGGGCAAAACTAAGCTATGTTAGAAGTTAGGATCATGGTTACCTCCCTTTAGGAAAGGGGACACAGTGGGGTATTCTGGGGCACTGATAATGTCTTGCTTGATCAGGTTGGTGGTTAGATGGGTATGAACCATATGAAAATTCATTAGGCTATACTCCACGATTTTTGCATTTTTCTGCATATATTTTGTACTTTTCTGTACATATACTTCAACACAAGTTTACAAAAATTAATACAGAGCAGTGTCTCAACTTCTCAGATGTGGCTCTGTCCTCTTTTTTTTTTTCTTATTGTTGAATCGACTATGGATGAATGTGTTTGGCAGGGTCATGAGGAGGTGGGTAATGTAATGAAATAAGCTCAATTAATTCTCTCTGTATCCCGCACCAAGTGGGCCCTGCCAGGGCTAACACATAGGATAAATAGAATCGGGTGCCTAGAGATGGCAGTGGTCTTAGACATAATTTTACAGGTTCAGGTGAGGAAACTGAGGTCTGGAGAAATAAAGTTAAGTATATGAAGCTGGTTTGTTGAACAGTGGGAAGGAATCTGAGTTTCATGATTCCAGTTTCTATCAGCCTTATACACAGGCAGATGTGATGGCCAAATACCTCTTTTCCATCCATCATGAATTAACTTGTTCATTCTTATGTGTTAAGTGATCATTTGCTCCCTGTTCAAAAGAAAATCACCTCCTTAGGGCAGATAACCTGATGTCTATTATTAATATGAGACAACTGATCAGATTTCCTGTTGCTCACAGAGAGTGGAATCCTGGGAGAGCAAAACATGGGGAGACTAAGTTTTGCTGGAACTAGAACACATAGAGTTATTATTGCCTTCTAGGAACTCCTGCAGCAACTTCCATGTAAGAAGTCACTTAATTCCCACAGCCCTATTATGTCAACTCTCTTGTTATTCTCACATTAGAGATGAAGAAACGAAGACACATAGAAATTACTATCTTGCCCAAGGTTCTACTAATAAGTGCCTGTGGGAGAATGACCCTGAACAGACTGCTCTGAACCACTATGTTTTATGGGATGGGGTAGTTTAAGGCACTCTGGTGGGGGACCTAAATTCTTCCTGAAGACATTAGGATACTGGAATAGACAAAAGAGAAGGAAATACATGAGGATGCCCCCCAAAAGAGCAGAAGACATGTGATGATAAAGCAAAAAACTCCAATATATATTTATGTTTGTGCATGTACACGTGTGTGTGATAACCATGTTATAATATATAGGTCATCAGTGAACCACAGTGATCATTTAAATGGATCAAACTTAGTTGGGAATTGTTAAATCTTTGCTTCACTTTATACTTTAAATACTATACCAAAGAATATCATAACTCTGGTGGTGATGAAAGATGTTAGCTAAATTTCAAGCTACAATATGAAAAAATAAGTGAAATAATAAAGTTTCAACTAGCCAGGAATGTGGAAGTCCTAATTCACCAGCACCCAAGCCAACCCCTCTTGCTTTGTGTCATAATGTACCACACATACTCAACTGGGCTTCCTCATATTTTCCTTCTTGTCCTCATTCCCAGAGCATGACAATCAGCCCCCCCCCACACGTACACACACACACACGCACACACACGTGCACACACTGTCAATTCAAGACACTTCTCAATTGCTATTCAGAATGAAATCAACCGCAGACACCATTTACTGCCTCATATATTTGAATTCTGAGGCAAGCATCATGTACAGCAATACTCTTGGCCTGGAGCTCAACAGATGATGATTACACAGAGTGGAAATGACACTTGTCCCAAATGCTTCTAAGTGTTCTCCTTCCCTGAATAGCACACTTCACCCTGCCAGCCCTCGAACACACCCCACTCTAGAAGGGCACCTTACATGAGCAGCACAACATGAACAGATCTGTTCAAAGAAAACAAAAGGCCTCCCTTCTACAGCAAAGGTTGGGCTGAACGGGGCTGCTGAACGCAATTTTGCACTGGAATACAGTTTTCCTGTTTCAAAGCAACGTGGAAGCATGCATGCAGCTTGTTAGATTTATATAATGCCTGGTCTCTCAAGACTTCACAAAGCGAACGGCATCCATCAAATTAATTTCCTTGGGGGATCGTCTCAAACATGGAGAATGAAGAGGCCCAGACCATTAAACATCAAAAGAATGCTCTAAATGGTAATTAAAGTTCTATTATATTTTCTTTTTCTGGGAGCAGATTAGATTAATTCAATTGAGAATATTAGAAGTATCAAAGCTGACAGTGTGAATGGGTCGAGTTGGCTGGAAGAGCACTTAATATTGCAGACATCTGTTCCTTCAAGTTACACACAACACACAGGACAGAGGGAGTTGACTCGGAGCGCGGGGTACTTACCAAGCCGGCACACGTAGACACAGCGACGGAGGAGGAGCTGTCATTTCTGATAAATCCCTGATAGAAACATCGCTGCACCATGGGTCCCCGAGCCTCTGAAGCACCATCTTTTCCAAGTACCTGGACAATAAAGTGACTGCTCAAAATGGCCGAGGGCTTAAGTTCTAAATGTAGTTCCTGTCCAAATGCTGAAAATCGGTAATGCAGGGAGCTGCTGGCACTCTGCGCCGATCGCTTTCTCCTGCCGTTGTGCAAAATGTCGTGTGAAATATATGACCCGCCTGAGTCCACTTCTACCGGTGTGACAAAGACGTAATCTGCAAGGGGAAAGGTTTAGCTGTCAGCACCCAGAGCCCACAAGGCCAACCGGTCACTAGCCAATGGGCGGGCAGAGAACGACGCACAACTCAAAGAAAGGTATCTCTGTTCCAATCGCCTTGGACCTGGATTCAATCTAATTCAGAGCAGCCCACGAAGAGGAGAACCCTGTGCTCTCTACAATGAGCCCTGCCAAAGTAACTCCTATAAAAACTAAAACGCAAGCACCATCCTGATGAATGTCAACAACGTTTGTGGAAAATGCCACAGCTCCCGTGGTTTGGGGAGAGACGGATGGATGTTTTATATGTTAGTTGGATAGAGCCATCCACCCATAAAAAATGCACTTTTTGGAGACCAAATTAATATAAAACCACTAAGGTAATAAAACAAAAATTGAAATTGTTTTCAAGGAGATGAGTATCTTCATGTTAAAGTGACTAGGGAGTGTTTGCGGGAGCAGACTTTACATTTCAAATAACTCAGTGCTGAGTAACTTGAGATGATAACCTCAGAAAATGAACAAGCAACCACAGTTTCATATTCCCAATATTAATTATACGTGACAATAAAACTCCAGAACGCGTAACACTTAACATTTTACTAGGAGCTTTCACAGGGGCAATCCCACTTCATTGTAAGCACAAAAGAGAGTTGAGGTATAAAAATGCCTCGACACTGTCAGAGCTTTTCCTATATAGTCTGATGTTTAAAATTGCTCAGACATGTTGTCAGATCAGGGACACCTGGAAAGGCATGTTTAAAAATACCTTCACCGCTGCTCCCTAGAGCAGCACTAATTGCTGGTTTTTTTCTAGAGAGGAGCAGCTAAAAAACAATTTGCTGCTTGAAAAAAATGAAGCCAGCCCACTGTTTTCTATCACAACACATTGAAACTGAAAAGTATCATCCCACAAAATGATTTGGAATATGCCCTCTGTGCATTAAAAAAAAAAGGAAAACAAAAAACAAAAAAAGCTCTGCATTTCCACTTTCTAGGCACAGAATGGGAAACTAATTTGGAAAGTGTTTAGAAAGATTCCGAATAACTAAGAGGCAGGTTTGAGTCACTTGGGTTCTTGGTTACAGGAGGAGGAAAAGAAAAGAGGAATTTCCCTTTTCCCAAAATAGTCAACAACGCCCTCACACTCACACACACCAAAAAAACCGAAAAAACAAACAAACAAGAAGCAGCAACCCTGTAGCTAGCAGGGATCAATAAGGATTATTCTAATTGGGCCTACGTCTAAGAAAAAAAAACCCAATATGACAATTTTTAAATGTTTTCTTCAGTATGACCATCTGTGACTGTTACTGCTTAAACAACTCTCATTGTTACAACATTCTTTATGTGCTGTCTCTCCCATCTTCTCTTTAACGCTTTTAACTAGAAATACTATGAAATTGACATGCATATTAAAGAATAATTGGGGGGAAAAGCTTTTCTCCTCTCTTAAACTTAAAAAAAAAACTGAGCAGGTGTACACTATGTCTCTTATTTTTAAAATCTCTATTATTTTGCTCTACAGGCCTGTGGCTCTTGATTCAATCCAGCTTTAGCTTCGTGAAAAACCGCCGCCTCCCTCCCTAAGACCTAACAGTGAAAACCCACCCCTGACACATGCTCCAGACCGTCTCTCCAATGAGTTGTTTCTTACCTCCTTGTCCAGAACCATCTGAAACTCTGCCTGCTCCTAGCTGAGAGGCCACGCAGGAGCCTTACCCAGCCAGCCTTTAATAGATCAGCCCGCAAAGCCCGCTCCCCATCCACCCACCCACCCAGACACCTGCTCCTAGTTTGTTTCCAAGGCGGGGAAGGAGCAGGCTGATGGCAATAGTTCTTGATGGGAAGAGGGGCAATCAGAGCCCCTGTAGAGAATGATCTGATCAGCCAGCTTAGTTAGGGGCTGACTAAAGATGTGGTCCTTGTTAGGTGGTGGCTGGAACACTGCACCTGCAGCCTTTTGACCCTAATGGAACAAGGGGAGGTTGTTTTAGAAACTGCTGCCAGCTTTTCTGGCTGAGATACATCTCATAGAGCTCACGCCTGCCTTTCTCCCGGTCCCTCACTCACCCGCTCCCTGGTACAGCCCTTCTCTACGACGGCCACTCCCTCCTCCCCCACGGGATCCCTTGTCCCCTGACAGGAGAAAGAGATAACCCTGCCAGGCTAAAATTTTAGGGAGCCTGGTTGGTCATCAAGGTCTTGCTAGGCACGTTGGATCAAGGATCAGGCATTCCCCTCGAGGGGGTAGGAACAGGGGACGGAAACAAGGATTTTCGTCCTGGGCGCCATCAAGAAGTTAATCAACGACAGAAATGAAGGGTGTTCTGGAGGTTTTGGGCCCGGGAACCTAAGGCGAGATACAGACCCCAGATACCTCAGGCTACCTGTTCTTCTCTCTGGGACAGTGGTCTCTGGGAATCCAAGACAGGGGGGGGGGGAGTAGGGCAGGCGGTGGAGAGGAGAGTGGGGGGAGAGGGGGGGAGGCGCAGGGCTGATAGTCTTTCATCTCCCAGCAAGAACGCGCTCCTGCCCGCTTTCCCAGAAGAGGAAGGAAATAGGGAAGGTGCCTTTTGATATCAACCACTTGGTCAATGTCCGCTTCCTTTCTAATTTCTCACCGCAGTAGGATTTTTTTTTTTAAACAAGCCATCTGTGAACAAGGGAAAGTATTGTTTTCTCATTTATGTGACTTGAAGCTTGAGGCACTGATTCTTTTGATAAGTTCAAAATCCTTGCCACACACCCCCCTCTCCAAACAGGAACCATTTCCAAGACGCTCACACACCTGCCCCGTGGAAAGGGGGCGGGGGGCACAAGGGGGTGAACTTTTCTACCTTTTCTCTCTTGAGGGGGGAAGGAGGAGACAAAGTGCCTAGACAGGCCCTTCTGGGGGTGAAGGGCAAATACGAACCGTCGTTTAATCCGCTGCCGCCGCCGCTGCTGCTGTCACTGGCTAAGGCTGCGGCGACCGACGCACAGCAGAGGCAGCACAGCTGGAGCGCCTGCAAGAGAAAAAGGTGACATCGCGCGTGAGGGACTCGGCTGGGCTTGCGCCTGGTGCCCCCTGCCACCCGCGCTCGGCGCGTCCCTCGGCGGGCACCTGCCTTGGCCACGCGTCCGAGGCCCGCCGGAGCCCACGGTGGGCCAGAGCCAGCGGCGGGGAGGGCGCACGCGAGCAGGAGAGCGCACTCCATGGTCAGGTGCGGGCGCGGCGGCTGCGGGCGGCGCGCATTCTCCCCGCCGCCCCGGAGCGCGGCGCTCCAGGTGCGGCGCCAGGTGGGAGCCGCCGCCGCCGCTCACATCACGGGCCGGGCGCGCTGGGGCCTCCCCGCCTCCGGCCGCCTGCTCGCCCTCCCTTCTGCCGGCGCCGGCTGCGGAGCTGCCGCCTGCGGCTCCCCGCGGGGAACGGGGGACTCGCCGGGCTGGGGCTGGCGCGCGCCTCCGAGCGCAAACGGCCAGGGGACTCTGTCCGTGCCTGCCCGCGCGCTTGCCCGCCAGTCTGTGCGTCTGTCTGGGTCTGTGCAAGAGTCTGAGGCTCCCAGGGAAAGCAGCGCCAGCTGGCTCCCCCAGCGCGCCAGAGCCGAGCGCCCGCCTCTCCACCGCACGGTGATTGGCGACCAGCGGCTCCTGGGCCCGTCCGAGCCCCCGGGCTGGTGCAAGGGCGTGGGATTCCAGGCTCCCGCTCCCAGGGAGGGGGCAATGGGGGAGGGGAGGCGGGGTGAGCGTGAGGGGGAGGGAGGGACCCACCGCCGAGAGAGGGAGCGGAGCGCCCTGGGTCAGGCTTAGAAAACGTAATTTAAGTGCACGGGAGAGATGAGCTGAGAGGGGGAGGCTCAGGTAAGCGGCGCGACTTCTTTGCTGCTTTCTCTTTACAAGTCTTCTGGCTGGTGAGACAGCCAAGGTACTGAGCGTTCTTATCAACTCCCAAGTGCCAGGTACAATCCTCTGCTTTATCTCATTTACCTGGGGCCCTATCCTAGCAAAAGTGGGACTTGTTAATCCCTTGATAAAAATGAAGAAACTGGCTTAGATGCGCTCATGCTAGCCTAACTCTCCAAGTATAATTGTATAATTTCAACTCGCAAATCTAGTGCAGCCTGCGGGGTGGGGGGGAGGCTAGAATGTTTAGCCTTGTCACACTGCCTGCAGCATGACGGAAGGAGACTAGACTTGGGGTGCAAGCACACAACAGAGTATAAGGGTGTTGTATTATAAAGTTGTACACCTGAAATGTATATAATGTTATTAACCAGTGTGATCCCAACAAATTTAATTTTTAAAAAAGAAAAGAAAGAGAACACACAGCCAGTGGTGGTAGCCTCACCTCTTCTCCTGGAGCTTTTCTCCAAGTGACCATGCTTCCAGCGCCACAAGATGGAATCCTGGCCCCAGACACACCGGCCTGCAGAAACCAGCCATTACAGCACCGTGCTGCCATCCCCAGGAATGTGAGTCCCATCTCCTGGGTGCCTTTTCATTCACTCAGTACACTTATTTGATCCCTGCTGTTTGCAGTGATGAACAAAAGATATTCCCATAGGCCAGTGGGAAAAACTCTCATTGGATAACTCAATAAGAAGACTAGAACCCAAATGATCACAGATATTCTAAAAGGAAAAGCATAAGCTCTTACATTAGATGAGTAATCGCAGAATCAAATTTAGTGTGTGTGTTGGGCGGGGGAGTGAGAATAAGGGAGTGTGTGTGTGTGTGTGTGTGTGGGGGGGTGTCTCTTAGGAGCTGACATTTCAAATAAAACCAAAGAGAGTGGGTCAGTTTTAAAGAAAGATCTTGAGTGTCAGGAGAGGGGGCACAGCAGAGGTGAAGGTCTTGAACTAGGAAAAGTGCTTGCCATGATGGAAAAGTTACAGGCCAGAGGGAGAGACAGAAACAGCAGAAGGCCAGGTCAATAGGATGTCGTAGGCTGGGGTGAAGCAATAGGAATCAGTTAGATTTAAGGTGTGTGTGTGTGTGTGTGTGTGAGAGAGAGAGAGAGAGAGAGAGAGAGAGAGAGAAGGAGAGAGAGAGAAGGAGAGGAGAGGAGAGGAGAGGAGAGGAGAGAGAGAGAGAGAGAGACGATGTGGATCCTATATGAGGGAGCTGAGGCACAGGGGAGTAAGTAAGAAAGCTGTTGCTAGAATCAAGGGGAGCAATGAAGGTATGTTAGGCCAGGTTGGTGGCTCTGGAGGAGGCATACACCCTGCTCTGGTCCTAAGGGTACCGAGGTGATTAAGATGAGGTCCGTACTTATGACAAGGGACAATTCACCATGCTGAGTCTGTTTCCTTGGACACAGTGATGAAGAGGTAAACCCAAGCTGTAGATGCAGAGGAAGTGGCACAACTCTGCCCAGGGCAAAACTTTTTGGAATGGCCTCACAGTGAGAAAATCCAGGTTAAACAAAACACGTGGCTTTCCTTACGGGATCTGTTTAAGGTCCTGTGGCCTCTATTTTTTAATAGGAATAAATGTAATACATCAAAAGGATATCCCAAGGATTAAGTGCAGATATTTTTACTGAGCTTCATAAATGGACTTTAAAAGTAAGAAGAGAAGATACCCCATATTTCTGTAACTTCATGCATCCTATGTCAAACTTTAATGTGCAGCAAAATCACCTGTGGTGCTGGCTTTAAAATGCAGACTCCTACACCCGAAACTAATAAAAATTTTTTTTAAAAAATGCAGGTTCTTGAGCCTTGAGCCATGGAAATTCTGATTCAGTAGATTTGGTGCAGGCCCCAAAGATACACTTGTAGCAAGCACCTTGGGTGGTTCTGACACAGGGGACTCTGGTGCTTAATGAGATTTCAGTGAAGAACTGGATATATTAAAGGAAATTGGACATGCAGTAAAAACAGGGCTTGAAGTCATATCACCAAGCAACAGACTGAATAAGAAAGGAGACTGTGAAGGCCAGCACTGGGAATTGTATCATCAGGTAAATGCTAAAGGAAACTGGCGGGGTCAATGCAGCTTTCATACTCCACTGAAAATAACCATGTTTCTTATTTGCATCTCTCCACTGAGACACATATGCATGAAGCCAGCCAGCCCCCTTGGGTCTCCCTCTTTTGCGGCCAGTAATAGAGGTTACTCACCAAGGTTAGGTGTAGAGTCTCAAAAACCCACTCTTACATATGTTCAGGGCTAGACTGTGGCACTTCTCAGCCTCAGCACCATTGACATTTGGGACTGGATCTTTTTTTGTGGCGGAGGCTGTCCTGTGCCTTGTAGGATGTTTAGCAGCATCTCTGGCCTCTCCCCACTAGGTGCCAGTAGCACCCCCACAATTGTGACAAATGTTGTGACATTGCCAGATGTTCCCTTGGGGAGAAAAAGCACCCCTGGTGAGAATCTGGATGAATAGGGTGGATCCCAGTCCTCTTCTGCGGTATTTTCCTCCATCAACCTGGAGCCTCATAGCCTCTCATTCAACTGAACAAATACGGCGGTGCCAAAAAAACATATACAAGTGGACACTTTGGTCAATGTTGCTCAAGCTGTGGTTTGCTGTAATCAGAAGCGTCTGGATGATGATGGTCACCACTTTGAGCACCTCTTGTAATTGCAGAAGTCAAACGTGACTTGCATTCATCTTTTGTTATGGGTATATATTGAGTATCACAATTTTAATACAGTTTTTTCCTTTCTTAAAATGTGTATACATATTTTTGGCACCCTCTGTGTTTGTTGAGTGCTCACCCTTTGAAGGACTGGAGGCCTCCTCTTGAACCTAATAATGTAAGGGTCCCACCCCCTAGTGATTGTGCAGCTCTTCTCCCATAGCCCAGTAAACCTTTGCACTTGGTAGATCCCAGCCCTCCATGGTTTGGTACAGAAACCAAGACCCATTTCTCACATACTACTAGACCTTGAGAACAAAACTTCCAATTCCCTCATTTGCAGATGACCCGGTCCAATTTCTTCTGTAGGGTTGGTCTACAAACATTGCAAAGCCATAACTTCTGGAATGATCTCAGACCTTCAATATTCTAGGAACTAGCCCTGCAATATATACACACTGTCTCTAGATGGTGACAGAAGAGCCGTGAACAAATGGCCCATCTTTTCCATTATGAATTACAAAGTTCATAGCACCCACTTCTAAGTTACTTGGAAATATAAAATGTAGCTGATTTTAAAACTATAAATCTAAGACACTATAATGACTATCCAAAGTTTACAGTGATCTGACTTAGTCTGTTCAGGCTGCTATAACAGAATACCATAGACTGGGTGGCTTATAAACAGGAAAAATTTGTTTCTCACAGTTCCAGAGGCTGGGAAGGCCATGATTAAGGCTCCAGAGGATATGCTGCCCATAAGAGCCCACTTACTGGTTCTAGGGAGCCTTCTTTTCACTGTGCCCTCACGTGGTGGAAGGTGCAAGGGAGCGCTCTGAGGCCACTTTTATAAGGGCACTAATCCCATTCATGAGGGCTCAGCCCCAAATACCATCACATTGGGGATTATGTTTCAACATATGAATCGGGGAGGGCGAGGGACACAAACATTCAGTCCATTGCATACCAAAAAAAATGGGGACAAAGAAAAAGAGAAAAAAAAATTCCTGTTGTGCTGTATTTGGTCAAACATAGCCCAGAACCTGGCACACAGCAGGCATTCAGTAAATATTTGTAGGTAGGGAGGGAGGAAGGGAGGAAGGGAGGAAGGGAGGGAGGAAGGGAGGAAGGAAAGAGGAAAGGAAGGAAGGAAGGGAAGAGGAAAGGAAGGAAAGATGGAGGGGAGGGAGGGAGATAACGGTGGGAACATTTGAGATGGAGAGATTGCACCGTTTCACTCTTCAAAACATTTCCCCTTTTCCTCTCTAAAATCAATGGTATAGTTTGAGGCATTGATTTTTCTTCGTTTCACACTGACATAAGTTTTACCTTTTTTTCACAATAATATGCCTTAAGTCCAGTACCTCCTCCTGGCCAGAGCAAGAAATAAACAGCAATCCCTGTTATTTATTCCCTTTCCCCGGATCTCCGCTCCATGAAAATGCAAGTGTCTCTTCCATGGAAAGTAAGAAACTTCTAGCCCCTCTCCCACCATAGCTGACTTTCTGTGCTATAACCAGCTCGTATTTTCTCCTCTCCTTTCCGTACAGAGCGCAGAAGGACACTCACTGCCCTTCCTCTGGCCTTTCAAAGCTGCACTGAATAGTTCTGTCAGGTATTATTTAACAGATTCCTGACAGTTTCCCATAGAAAGTGTTTTCATGTCCAAAGAGCAAGACATCCAAGACCATGCATCCAAACCTAGCACAGGGTAAAACAAACAGAAAGCAAGGCTTCACTTATTTCAACACAGTAGCCATAAAGAAAAAGAAAGAGATGAAAATGTATTAACATCGTTTAAGCCCTTAAGAAGGGCCGGCTGCTTTCTGGCTGGTGTCTCAGAACAGAGGTGCTGTTAGCAGCCCAGTCCTCAAAACCAGGGGGGAGGTTCCCAGAGGGTAAGGGGGGAGAAGGGAGGTAAAGGGGGTCAAATATATGGTGATGGAAGGAGAACTGACGCTGGGTCCTAAGCACACAATGCAATATATGGATGATGTATTATGGAATTGTATGCTTGAAACCTATATAGTTTTACTAACCAATGTCACCCCAATAAGTTTAATAAAAATTTTTTTTTAAAGTGGGGAGGAGGAAGGCGGGGTAGAAGATGACAGAGCAACAGGTCTGAACTTACTCTATCTTTTTTAGACATAACCATCCAGAAAGATAAGCTGTTTGCTTTAGAGCACAAAATAGAGCAAAATCCAAACAAGTGCCATGCAACAACTTCTGTTTTCTATTTGTCAGCAACAATACGGGAAGCAGAACCTCGCAGCCTAACAGCTAGTTTTGTAAACAGATTGTCATCAAACACAATTTAGGAATCATCAACTGTTCTCCCCCCTCGCCTTTTATATTCTGCCTTCCATGGCGCTTGCTTACAACACTGACACTGATTGTTTCCTTTTGCAACCTGTGCTTGTCTGCCTTACCTGTATGCCGAGGCTCCCTCTTCTGACTTATCTATAGGCTGAGGCTTCTTGTACTCACGTCAGCTTGCCTCTGTGGATGCTCTGACTATGCGTGCTGCTGCCCCATTCTCTTTTTAGTCCTTTGCCAAGCCGGACGATAAAAAATAGTTTGTTTGCCTGAGGCTAGAGGCAGCAATAGAGCTAAACTGTTTCCACAAACCCAAGGACAAGCTCTGAGCTCTCTGCATAGTGGAGAAGTGGAATATACACCTTGCAAAAGCCCTGGGGAATATCAGGCTGCCTAAGAGAGGGAAATGGCTTTTGTTCACGTGACATCTTATCCTTCTCCATGAGCATGAGCTCATCATGCGCAGGCTCAGACACTTGCCCCAGTGAGTCCCCTCAATTTGCATCTGTAACACCAGCCAGGCCTCCCCATACATGGGACAGCCAGGATGGGGACCTATGACTGCTAGTCAGAATCACCTGGGGAATTGTCAGACCTGCATTCGTGGGCATCCCTATGACTATTCCAATTAAGCGGGTCTGGGATGAGGCCCAGACATCTGTCTTTTAACCGATACCTGAATGTTTCTGATGTAACTAAATATGTTACAAACCTGTAATTGTGGCCCACAGAACTTACACCTCCACTTGAATGCCACAAGTGCTTCCTAGTCAATGGGATTTAAAGCCTCTGGGATACTGTTGACTCGTTTCTTATTCGTGGAGAAAGCACAGTATAATAGCAAGAATAAAGGACAGGCTTGGGATTGAATTTTGCTATCAGTGATGAGTGGTATTTCTTTTTGTTTGATTAGATTTGGGGGAGGAGAGGGTAATTTGCCTTCTAAGTATTTCCATCTCCCCTTTTCTTGTCTATTCCATGATACAGACCTGCTCAAACATATACCAACACTTTATGCTTGGCAAAAATGATTGGCCCAAGAGGTGTGGTGTGGACTCCAGTGT